GTCGATGGACGAAGTAACACCACAAGTATGGAATGGTGATGTCAGCTTCATCTTGTTTCATCTTATTAGTTACTGTATAATGTTGTAATCAGTTTTGACTCTCTCAGGAAGCAAACCTGCCCCAAACGGTTATATTCTAGTTCGTGCTAATGGTGGACTAAATCAAATGAAAACTGGGGTAATGATTTATGCATCACCATACCATTCTATGCAATGCATGAAGAGCTTAAACTGTATTTACATTCATACCTGCAGATAAGTGATATGGTGGCCATTGCACAATTGATGAATGCTGCTTTGGTTCTACCTTCATTAGATCACAAGTCATTCTGGACAGATCCTAGGTGCGCCGCCTGTTGTATACATTCTGCCTGCCTCAACACACTCAAATTAAAATAAAAGAACTTATATATTGAATATTGAGTTTTCTCAGTGATTTTAAAGATATTTTTGACTGGAAGCACTTCATGAATGCTCTGGAGGATGATATACAAGTATTGGAGTCTCTTCCACCATATTTGGCACATGTCAAACCCCTCATCAAGGCTCCAGTTTCTTGGTCCAAGGCATGTCTAACATTACACATATATGCATGTACACAGTATAGTATAATCTTGAATTCTATCTACGTACAAAATATAACATTTGGATTTTTGTGCAGCCCAGTTATTATAAAGGAGAGATGTTGAAGATGTTAAAGTGGCATAAAGTGATACAATTTACGCACACTGATTCACGCCTTGCTAACAATGGCATTCCAGATCCAATTCAGAGACTTCGATGTCATGCAATGTATGAAGCACTTCAATTCTCAGAAGATATTGAACTACTTGGAAACAAGTTCGTTTCCAGGCTAAAGGAGAATGGTGGTCGATATATAGCTCTCCATTTGAGGTATATATCTTGCCAAAATGATTGGCAAAGCTCAATATATAAATGAGAGAGAAAGAGAGAGAGATTTCTGATCAGATTATTTTTTTGTAGGTATGAAAAGGACATGCTAGCTTTCACTGGTTGCAATCATAACCTTACTAGAAAGGAGGCTGAGGAGCTCAGAAAATTAAGACACAAAGTTAGGCACTGGAAAGAGAAGCGCATAAATGGCACAGAGAGAAGGCTCCAAGGCAGGTGTCCAATGACTCCTCGGGAGGCAGCAGTATTACTGGAAGCACTGGGATACCCATCTACCACTAAAATTTACATAGTTGCAGGGGAAATTTATGGCCAACATGGCCTAAATGCACTCCGTGAAAAGTATCCTAACGTGTATTATCATTCTAATATAGCATTGGAGGAAGAAATACAACCATTCAGCCAACTGCAAAATCAGCTTGCTGCCTTGGATTATATTGTAGCCCTTAAAAGTGATGTTTTTGTTTATACCTATGATGGAAACATGGCTAAGGCAGTGAGAGGTCATCGAATTTATGAAGGCTACCGGAAAACCATTGATCCTGACAAGTAAGTTATTCATGGGTTAATAGCAGTTTCTAGTTTTACCTCCATTCTCTCTCTTGATATTGGAATAATCTGAAAATTGTCAATATAAGTAAGTTTTTGGGACTATAAGTAAGAATAATTACAAGTTCAATAAACATGTTGAAAATAGAAAGAGTCACCTATATTTAATTTGAATCCCAAGAAAACTTTGTTATCAGCAACTATAAACATGTACTGTACAGTAATTATACTGAAGATTTAAATAGAACGGAATAACTAATAACCCAACTATGGGCCACAGAAACTTGTCTTCGAATCATTACGCAAATAAATTCACAGAACCTGAATATTTAATCCTCTGGTCCCATGCTTGAACAAACTATAATGAACAAGTTGAAGCAGCTCCACAAATTTAGGATTTTTTTTTTAATTATTATTAACTCAGTGTACTCAAACCCAATCCAAGCAGAAAGAAGTCACGAGATGAAATTGATTCAATTCTTGGCTCATTTCTGAGCTACTTGTGAAATTTCAGTCAGCTCAAGGTAAACTAATTCCAACATATTCACAACTCTAGATGTTGATAACCAAACAAAAGAAAAAACTAGAGAAAATTGAAACTGGATTTAGCCTTCAATATATCAGATTCAGAAAACTAAACCTCACGATTTTCTGTCCAATTAAATACCTGTTACTTTTCCTAGCCCTCACAAAATTGAAGTTTTTGCAGACAAAATATTGTGAGACTGATTGATGAAATGGACAAGGGTAATTTACCTTGGGAAGAGTTTTCATCAAAAGTCAGGTGCTTACATGAGAAGAGGATTGGAGCGCCACATTCCAGGCTAGTGGGAGGTTCTCCAAAACTTGAGGAAAGCTTTTATGCAAATCCTTTCCCTGGTTGCATATGCCAAAAATCGAGAAGGTGACAGTAATGTGCAAGGAAAGACAACAGATAAGAAACCCCAATTTACCAGTATGAATGCTACTGAAGCAAAGCTTTGTTCGTATTCATACTCGAAACAGATTGTTTTAGTTCAAACTGTTGTACTCTACATAACTACTTGACCCAGAACTAGAAGCGTTTTAGTTCAAACTGTTGTACTCTACGTAACTACTTGTCCCAGAACTAGAAGTGTTAATGGATTAGACAGAGATAAGGAGAAGTCAAAGCAGTTCCGATATCTATAGAGCCATTTCCAAACCTTCTACAGTTTTTATACTTCTGCAAGAAAAAAAACATCAGATTAATTCTGGTCATCAATTGTAGCCAAAAAAGACTGGTTTCAACTCGACTGTAATATCGTTACATTATCGAAATAATAACTCCTAAGATATTGATGCTACCAACTTATGGTGCTCATGCATTATGAACAGATTTTACATTATCCATTCAATTTTAGCCTTTCTGCTTCAGCTGAACAGTCGAACATGGCATAGTATCCAGACAGATGTTTAATCAGTCACTTACTTCAGAAATAAATATGCAATCACCTTGCGAAAATATATGTATAACACAAACTGAAAGTAAGCTATCAGCTCTTCAGCAGAAGAACTCAGGAAACATTAAGTAATTTTAGAAGCCCTATAAAATAGTGTGAATGTATTTGCTGCTGCTGTAATATGGTACTGCTAGAAGCACACTTGAAAACATGTACAATCAATTATACCAATCAAGAAAGAGAATTGAAAAAGTAAGTACAAATAAGAAAAGTAAAAGAAAAGTTCTGCTGCTGCTATTCCGTTGAATGGCTTGTGACAGCTCTTTGTTACCAAGCTGTACATTCTTTGTAGCTTCAACAGCCTGTTAAATGAAACAAAAATAGATTCAAATGTTAGATATCATTGCAATTAAATGAACAAAAACCCACAAATGAACATGTATTTGTACATTAACAAAAAGATACTCAAAGACAATCCAGCTTATGCACTTTTACGTCATTACTAGTACACTATCATGTATGCATTAATCATTAGCAACATTCAGCAAACCTCGAGTATTCTCTGACCTGCTCATACAAAAACTCTATCTGTTGGGCCTGTTGCAAAACATGTGTGGACATGAGATGGTTCAGCGCAGACATTTCCACCATCTTTGATTCAGTTTCTTGAACAGCATCTAACATGCTTGCCAACTCAACCTATATTTATATGAAAAGTGGTGTCACAAAAAGCATCATTCTTGTGAACCACAAGTGAAGACTTTCTCAAGCTGCATGTATGTAGAAACTTACAGAAATCAACCGAAGTACTAATTACCTGGAGGGCGCGTGTTTCATCATCCAGAACTTGCTGCTGGACTCTGATAGGCTCTGCTTGAACTTCATTATCCTCTCTAACCTCTGAATTGCCCCTGGACTGAAAATTGTTAGAATTAGAACTCTCTGTAACATTTTTTATGCCACTCTTCAGTTTTCTTCTTGGTGTTACTCGGTTAATAGCATCTTGGAAACGTATGGCTCTTAGCTGATCAAACTGCGATGTCACTGAATGAAGTTTTTCGCTTAAAATCAATACCTGTACAACATTATTAAACATCATTTTCAATCTAGCTGCTTGTTTTATCGACAAAATATTATGACTGAAACAGATGTATACTTGGTGAAAATAAAAAATAATAATAGTAACCAACACTTCTTTCCCTATGGCATTCATAAGACCAAAATAGAGATATAATTATCTACAATACAGTAAAAATTGGAATCCACTTCCCCATATAATAGAAGATGATTGTGCTACAAGAACCTAAAATTGAAAAACAACATATAGAATAAAATTGTTATTATTGAATTAGATGAACTCAGGCCATGATATACATTTTTAAAGGATTTTCTATTTTAAATATATCAAGTGCGAAACAATCAACAAGTATTCTCATAGAAAATTTTCCTTACTACCAACAGAAAGAATGAGCACTCATTCAGAAAAGGAGTCTTTGAAGAGAAAAATGTTCAACAAACAGGACTCAAGCAGCATTAGAAGTCAAACAATTCAAATGAAACACATACCACTCCATGTTTGTGTGCAATAGTATCAGCATTCAAATTGTCACTCCTGATGCCGAGCCATCCCTTCGAACTTGATTGTTCATGATTTATACTATTCTTGAGAACATCTATTTGCTCTCTGCATGAGTTGATGAAAACCGTAACCTACGAAAAAACAGAGGTAACAAATAAATATGTGAGCCAACTATTCATACAACACATGCTTCAATAAGTTGCAATGGAGAACATATTGCCAAGTCAATATAGCTAACAAGAAAGTCAAAATATCACCAAGTACATTAAGGTATTTGAAAGTAAATTGTATCAAGCATCCAAAAGTAGAAAATTAATAAGCTTCAACAAAAAGTTAAAGATAACTATAAGATTTAGCTCAATTGCACACAGACCTCTACTACATTGTATTTCACAATTATAGGAGGTTTTTGATTGTGTCCTTGTACAGTTGTACTTTGTAGGAAGGAGGATAGTTTTCTTTTTCTTTTGTTGCCGAGGGAAGGTATTGTTCCTAGACAATTCCAAACTCGAAATGGTGATTTATCCTAGCAAAATCAAACATATATTGTAATTTTATACCATGAAGCATTTTTACCTTTTAAAGGGAAATGTTACTTGTTATATCTTGTATTATGTATTTGATTAGTTTATCATAAAGCTTCAAAGTTGATAAGAAAAAAGATCAATAAAATCGATCATTTCCATTCTCATTGGAACATGCTTCAACAGATATCTCATTCCCAACTCCCATTTGTTGGTCATATTAATATCTACAATTTGAAACTGACATCATATTATGCTATCCATCACATCATTACTTTCCAGTCTTATTATTACATGAATGTACAAATAACAAGCCGCTGAACAAAATAACAACAGTATGCCAGCAATTCTAATCCAATGCAAGTATTCACATTTTCATATCCCCTTTAGACTACAAATGAAAAAGACGGTATCTCGAGCAAATAATAGCCACTGCAATTTCTAAATGTAACTCACCAGACATCCTCATGACAGAGATTTTAACAAAAATCAGACATTTAAAAATTAAAAGCAAACCCACTGTCAATGCGCCCCTCAATTTGGACAAGTACATAATAACTTTCAAATCCTTACTTCATGCTCAATGCTATCTCTCTCTTGTTCAGTGGTGCGACGGAGATCCAGATAATCCTTCTTATGCTTCATCAAGAACTTCTCCAAAGCTCCAATGCTTTCGAGCTGGCAGATGAATATAGTACAAGCTTAAGAATATGTTTCAATTTCTTAGCTATCATGAGCATGATCATAACTTCTATGGAATGGCAAGGTAGTACAAGTAGGATATCGGAATAGATACCGTCTTCATGGAAGCTTTGGTGAAAGGTGACCTTTCACGTGTTTTGTGGAGGATAAAAGATGCCATTATTGTTGCCGTTTTGGACTGCCAAAATATATAGATAGCTCACAGATTAAAGATGCATTATAGCCATTGTACCAAAATTAAACACGTACACTCAACATAAAAATATATATATACACAATAATTGAAAATTATAACCAGTGAGATTAGAGATGCGAAAGGAACCTCATCGTATCCCAAATTCAATGCAGCCCGGCGAACTGAATCCTTAAAATCTTCAGTTCTATCTCTAACTTTGGCCATTCTTTCACGTCCGATTGTAGAGGGAGGAAAAATACAATTTTCAGTTTAAACAAGTTCTTCGGTAAAACTTCGTTATTCATCGGAAAAGGAACAAAATGAAACACAATAGCAAATTAGTAAATCGAAATTTTGCGTCTGAAATATTACACTTGCAGGACATATTAGAGGTTTTGATAATCATTCAAATAACTACAAGGATACAAAATTCCTGATCTTTCGAGAAAAAAGTAAAATTTAATGAAACCCCCATAGAATTATGAAATTTAATAGAAGAAGGTTCCGATCAATGGCCCAAACCTTTAAAGGAAACTCCAACTGAGGGTCTGCCGAGAAAAATAATGGAAGATAGGAAAGGAAGCCTGTCACAGCCGGAGAAAGGAGTCGACGACCACCTGTGGTTTCTTTTTCTTTTTTCAAACGAAAAGAATTCTGGAGATGAATTGGAATTTCGATGCAAGGAGTAACGGAACTATGGATTCACGTCAGAAGACACAAACGGCAGTTCCATTATTCTAATTTTTTATTTTTTTAGTTTTGGGTTGTGTGGACTGTAGTAGAAAAAGTTATTGATATGATGAAAAATATTATTTTAATAAAAAATGTGTGGTTGAAAATTAGTTTTGAAAGAATATGTACCAAAGATGGTATAAATAAAATTCTATTTAATAAATTATAAAACTTTAAAAATAAAAATATAAAATACTAATTTTTAATAAAAATTTAATCTAAAAATAAAATTAAAAAAACTTAAAAATCTCTCAAAAAAATTGAAGAAAATATGAAAAATCTAAAATTAAAATTCTAAAAAAATAAATTCTAAAATTCTAATACAATAAAAATTCTAGAATTCTAAAAATAAAAAAAAAATAGTTCAATCTCTTGATGATTATTTATATAAAAAATTAAACAATATATTAAAATGAACAAAGATAAACAATTAGTTTATGAGAAGAATAAATTATTTAAATTTAGAACTTTTAGAAAACTTTAAAAGAAGGGAAAAGATACACTTACAGAACTATTCACTTACAGAATAGTTACAGAAATAAAAATTTCTCAAAATACCCTTTATATATAAATTGCAACTAGGAGCCACTACAAGAA